CCACCCCACCCACCCAAAAAATTGCAAAACAAAACAAAAAAAAACCCAGTAAACCCCACCCCCCCAAAAAAAAAAAAACCCAAACCAAACAAAAACCCAAGTCTGCCTCTTCCTTTTAATATCAAGATTTGGGTTGAGCCTGGTTTTAATGCATTTGCAGATTTTATGGGTACCCTAAACAGTATTTCCTCATGGAAGACAGGACAGGAAGACAAACTCCGACAATATTTGAGGAGCTGAATTTTGAAAGAAATTCTGGAAAGTAAGAGTCCTTGCAGAGGAGACAGAACTGGGATATGCAGCCACTGCGTACAAAATGAGCTGAAGTTCCTCAGTTGTATTTCACGACCAGTAACGATTACGCAGTGGGTAAGCCTGGAGGGGAGAGACTCCTGGGACTATGTCAGAAAGGAGACAGCTTTTCCAGAACATAGAAGTAGTGTTAATGTGTAAAAGTGAGGGAATTTCAAATGTAACTCAGATGTTACTTTAGGGCTGAGCTGCAAAGTACTGTGTGGCTCCAAGTGTAAAATGCATTCAGTAAGGATTTCTTCTCTCCTCATTCTGTTGATAGACAGCATGGGCAGTCCTGCCAAGCTGACTTTTTCCTGGAAAACACTGTTAACATTATCTCCACATTTCCCTTAAGTTTCTTGCTGAAAAATCTGAAAACTAAATTTTAAGGCTCTAACCTGTTATTTTTCCATGTCCCTTGCAAGATCTCCCAAAGATGTCCCATTTGAAATTGTTATCTTCAGTCCTCGTGGGCTGCTTCTATCAAACTCTAATGAGAAAAATGAGAGTGACTTCATGGCAGTATTTGTTTTCTCTATATTATACTTTGAAACAAATAAAAACATTTGGAACACAAGCATTTAATATAGAGACCAATTAAGTGCAACATAAAGACGAACACCGTATTTTTTTATATAAATTACTAGTGTGTGTAGGACTTCAAAAACAGAATTTGAAATCAGGCTGAAATAGCTGGTGGCTCTCTAGCCATATTTTTGGTAATTCTGATGTTTACATTTACAGCTACACAAGATAAATTCCAAAGAGATAAATACTTTACATTTCAAGTGGTTCAAGAAAACAATTTTCGTCCCTGTGCTGTGTGATTCAAAATATTAATAGAAAATTATAATCTGAAAGTCAATTCTATAGCAGTCATAAACAATCACTTTGTCTTACTGATTTATTCTCCTTCTTGCTAGACTTTTTCTTTCTTAGGTATTCATAGTTAATCAGTATTTTAAATATGGCCATTCATTAAACTAGTTCTTTTGCAACAAAAATAGAAATAACTTCTTTGCCTTCTTTCTGTAGTGACCTCAAAAGTATAGGAGGGGGGAAAAAAAAATCTTCTGTTTTTCGAGTAACTCTTCTTATTAGGTGGGATATGTGAATGGAAAAATACTGAAGAAGAAAGTTCTGTGTCTACTTGTGGTAATACTTTGTTCTCCATCCAGTTTGGTGTGACAGCATTCGTGGGATGCATTTGCTTCCAGCCTCCCTTTCACTGACAGGTTTGTTAATCCTGAGGAATACCGAGGACGGGATTTGCAGCCATGTGTAATGAGCTCTGCGAGTCCCGTCCAGTTCTGAAGGCTACAGGGAGGACTGGGAAGGACATCAGTGATCACTAGTGCTGCCGTTGTGGGTTGGACTTCCAGCAATAGAGATTATTCCCAAGGATAAAAGGCTCTCACTATAAAATACCTTCTACTACCATCACCTAGATTTATTCATATATTGCCATCTGCCATTCATTTAGGTGCTACTTTTAAGCAGTGAGAAAGTTTCACCTTTGGTGCGAAATTGTAAAGCTAGCTTTCTGTAATTTAATGGCAGTTCAGCTCCTTTCACCAGTTCTTACTGTCTTAGACTTGAATGTAGAATAATGACAGAGAGGAGCATAGTTTGTGAAATTCAAGATGCGTATAGAAGAAATAATGTAAATGCAACTGTTTCTTTTCCTCAGTTTTCAATCTTTTCACAGTAGGCAAGATAGCTTTTAAATATCTGTAAAAATCCTTCTGGAAGTGGAACCATAGTGGGAAATAATATTTTCCAGTGTTCTATTATATACTATTGCATTTATAAAAAAATATTTTTATTTAACTTTATGTAATATTTCAATATTTCGTATTTATGCGATTAAACATGTGATCGTTCCACTAAGTATTTCAAAACCAGACTTGGCAAAGCTAAGCATTCTAAGCAAGACTTAGTGTTATGTTTGGGGTGTTCAGATTCGTAGGAAAAAAGAGAACGAATGGGTGCATCAGAAATGGTACGCACTCATAGAAGGCAAGCATGAATGTATTGACAGAAATGATATATTAACAATAAATACACATTTTTCATTATCTTTTAAGTATTTTTAAGAGAAGATTTTTTTTTGCCCCCAGATTTAAAGTTTAGTGCTACTCAGAGAAGGGAATTAATTGCGTGACAGGTAGGGAGAGATCCATTTTCAGTTAAAGGAGAAACAGGGAGGCATGCATTTTTATACTTTATGCTTCATGAAGTTAATGATTTTCCTTTAACTTTCTGTTATTTCGCATGCTAAAATAAATTTCTTACATACAGTGCCTCACCCTTCGTGTTCCTTGTTTTTCTTCCCTGTGTATTGCTATCATCTTTCTCCTGTTGTCAGCTCGCAATTTCATGCCTCTCCTCTTTTCATAAGCAATTTTTTTCTCTTACTTTCTATTATATTCCTGTATCTTTTTTTTTCCTGCTAATTCCACTTACAAAGTAAGAAAAAGAAGAGGCATGCATCTGGCTTTTAATCAAAATAAGTCATTCTCACAGAGCGAAATTGTCTCTGTCTTGGTCAGTGGTCAGGCAAACAGGTTTATAATGCAGGCTCCTGGCATCTTGATTGGAAGAGGACTCCTCAGAGGCTTATGTGAGTCTAATAGAATTAGAATAACAAAAACCTTTGCATCCTGGGTACCCAGCTGTCCAGCTTCACAAGCCCTGTCTTAGGTGGACTGTTAACAGAATGAAGCAAGGTGTGTAAATAGGG